TTCCAAGGTTCAGGCACAAGCGTCTCGATAGACGCATAGTTGTTTTGAAACAACTTGCTCGATGAGCATGATCCAAATGTGGATGCGCTGTAACAGCGAAAGTGGTGTCCCGCACGGGGATCGAACCACTGGCCTTTGGCTTGACAGGCCGGAGCTCTACCATTGAGCTACAAGGGCGATGCCCGTACGTCAGTCCGAGAACGGACTACTCATGGTATGAGAGGGCTGCGCGCGGGTGGATTTGAGCCACCGACCTGTGGCTTTCAAAGCCAGCGCTCGACCACTGAGCTGAAAGGGCGTTGCCCTTAAGCTTGTCCATTCAAGGACAACAGTTCATGGAACGAGAGGGCTGTGCCCTGGGTGGGTTCGAGCCACCGACCTGTGGCTTCCAAAGCCAACGCTCGACCACTGAGCTAAAAGCGGTTTGCTCTTAAGCTTGTCCAAGCGTGAAACAATCGTTCATGGAACGACAGGGCTGTGCCCTGGTGGGCTCGAACCACCGACCTGTGGCTCTCAAAGCCAACGCTCAACCATTGAGCTAAAAGGGTGTTGCCCTTAAGCTTGTCCAAGCGTGAACAATCGTTCATGGAACGAGAGGGCTGTGCCCTAGTGGGTTCGAACCACCGACCTATCGCTTGTAAAGCGAGTGCTCGACCGCTGAGCTGTTGTCGACGACTCGAATGAGTCAAGAGCATTGCTCTAAGCGGTTTGCAGCTCTTGGAGTAGGCGCGGAGCGCGAGCGTAGGTCTGAGACCGCTTGAGAGCAAGATGCGCGCTGCGCTTGGAGCATTGGGCCGTGGGCTGACGACGAGAAGTTGGGCATCAACGATGCGTAGGCGTTTGTGAGCTCACGGAGCTGTACAACGCTGGTGTGAGGTGTAGTAACCTCCGCCGTCTTAACAAGACGTGACCTCGCTGAGGAGAGTTTCGAGAACGGAATGTTCTCATCTTAGTGGGGGAGAGTGTAACGGGGCTACATGGTGTGGAACACACAGGGGTACGAAGTACCCGGAGAGTTAACAAACTCTCAGTACATAAGTTGGAGAGTTAGCAAGGTCTCTCAGTACGTTGGCCCGAAAGCCACACGTTATGCATTTGATTAGGTTTAACTATGCTAGATAGTTAAAGAGATACATTTACCCCTAGGCGGCTTGGCCGCAATAATAGTAAATAAAACACTTCTGGTTTTGAAGCATAAAAGTTAAGGTATTAACTTTGAGCCCTGGTCTTGGGCTGTAAGTGTCCTTTGGATAAGGAACTTAGTATTAGTGACTCTTTGAGTCGAACGTCTTCCTCTGACGCTAAAGCTACGGCAGCCCCGCTGCAGCAGTGGACATCTGCAGACGACTTCCCAGTAAAGGAAACAGTGTTTTCCAGAACGCAGCCGTGAACCGCGGGTCTTGGTCCGAGACAATCGTCTCCGGGAGACCGTGATAGCGGAGCACGCCATCGACGAACAGCCTTTCGGTTTGCTCGCCCGTACAGGGACGGGAACCGGAGCAAGATGTGCGGAGGCGGGCCCAGCGCTGAGCTCACCAGCGAGCCGAGCACTACACTTTCCAGAACATTCTATCTCCATATTGCGAGCGCAGCGAACCGCGTGGGGCGCCCAGCCAAGCGAAGCGCGGCTGGTCCCTTTTCTGCTGTGACCTCTAATCGTCGATTATGTCTTATTGCGACACTCAGAAAGTCAAAAGTATACAGAAGTCAAGTCAATTGATTTGCTGTGTGCTGAAACAGTAAATACATGTGTTTGGCATGTTCTGTCATTCCAACCCAGCAAGCATCGCCGCAGTGCTACAGAGCATTCTATAATAGACCGACGATCCGTTGCCTTGCTCCGTAGTTTTCCGGCGTTGGGACTAAGATCAGTGGATGTACGGCTCTTCACGCCGATTCAGCATCGATGATTTATGTATTGTATCCGATACTGCGGCTTCGCTCCACAGCTTCAAAATCTAAGGCATCGGTGCCATCAGTCAATGCAAAATGGTTTCGTGTTGAATCTGCAAGTCCTGCATGGCAAAATCAAATCAAAATTGCACTTGTTGTTGCCTCTGCCTCAACCCGATCCGCACAAAAATGCTCTCTAAGAACATTTTAGCTACCCAACTGTATATGTCAGGGCATCAGATAATAAAGGAGCAATAACTGTTTAATGGAAGCAGAGCAAGCATCAGATAATAACGCAAATCTATTTTAGCAGGATTTACGGCGGTCGTGCGACGTGTTTTTGCTTGGTTCCAGCGTCCTTTCTTTCGCATATAATTTTCAAGCCGCCCCATCCACAGCCGGAAGTTGCTGGGCCGATAGTTCATTGTGCAGAGTCTCGGCTGGAAAACAAAACTCACGAGCAAGCAAAGTTTTTTATCCTTTTGCACCTAAACAGAGCGAGATTCATTACCACAGAGCAAATTTAGTCAGCAGCATCTCATCGTCCCAGCGCGTATATTAATCATGTCAGACGTCATTGTGCCGTCCTTCTTCCCGACGCCGACCGAGATCGCCGGTGGCATCCGCTGGGTCAAGCATCATCCCGTCGTGGCCACAGCCGCAGCCGCAGCAGCCGCAGCCGTGAGTGTGATCACGTACTTGAAAGCAGTCGCTGCCGACGACGAGCGGGACCTAAAATTAGCAGTCCTGAGCCCACACAAGGGCGACGAGTCCGACGACCTTTGCAGCAGTACAGAGAGCGACGCGTCCACTCCGTCAAGAGGCCGCACATTGAGTCCGCGTGATCTCAGTGTACGTTGCAGTTTGTAAAGAATTTGAGATCATATTCGTGAATTTCGTGCTGACCTGTTGGTGTGTTTGTCATGCAGTTCGGAGACTTAGATGCCGAAGTGGAGAACGAGGTGGAAATTGACACAGCAGTGGAGAATAGTGAGCTAGATGCAGCTTTACAGGAGGCGGATGGAGAGACCGTGTCGCCACAGTGGGGATGGTATGTCTCCACGACGCCACCAGAAGACTATTACCAGTGACCAAATATTACTCCATCATCAAGTGCCGTTTAATTTTGAAACCAAGACAGCGTTGCGACGGACTCCCCTCTCTACGGCAAATCCAAGAACTGCTATACTCTTAGACAGCTACTGCGTTTGCCAGACCGAGAAGGAATTTCTCTCTTCTCGGGGCGCGTGGCTGACGCTTTTCAACCAAAGCCACGCGAAATCCTGTTTTGTGTCCTAAATATATGGAGACTTCGCACACGCCTAAAATCTCCTGCTAAGTTAGGTGGTTCTCTGTTGATTCCTTTTTCCGTGTAGCGACGAAGCAACTGCCATGTCAACTGGTAAAGTGGTCCACTGAAAGGGAACGGCAATCCGTTACTTAACGCCCCGGTAAATCGCTAGGTTCCGATTTTTAAGCTCCGTTGAAAGAAAAAAAAAAAAAAATCGCCGCTCGAGGTGAAACGCTGAAAGGTTAACCTCCCAACGCCTCGTCTACAGTTTTTTCACGCC